CCTAAAGGATTCTATGATTCCATGGTTCTATGATTACTTGACTGCAAACATTATTGTCAGGCAGTAATCCAAGATCACTGGAAACGTTGCACAGGTTAGGAGAAAACTTACTTTGTTCAGAATAAGGACTGTGGTTTTTCTTCCTCCTCATATGCTCACGAATACAAGACTGAAGCAGAAGATTTCTGTTAATTCTCACAGGGGTCTACAGAGAACAGTACAAGATTCCCTACAGTATCTCACTCACATGCCTCAAATAGGTCTGGACTACAGTGTTTTCTCTGGACTGAAACGCAGAGTAAACTCTTGTTTGATTGGTCATCTGGCCAGCAGAAAATAAACAACACCTGCCTAATTTAGTTCCACTGGTGAGATCTCCTGTCTATCAAAAAGCTACCACAGAGTTAACCTCTTGAGACTGGTCAAAATTTGATCTTCCTGTGACTCATGAAGAGGGGGGAAAAAAAGAAGCGTGTAAAGAAGGGGGGAGGGGGAAGTAATGAGATGGACAACCAATATCCCCTAAAGATATTGCCCTCAGATGAGAGCACTTATTCTCTGTGCTGCTTCCTATAAAACTCTAGAGATTCCAGAACAAGACCTAGCTTCTACATAAAGTGTTACCAAAGAATTATTGCATACAAAAGCCTAGAAATAATTCTCTCAGTATTAAGTTTGCCAAAAATAAACAAAGACTTTTTTTTTTTTTAATTTGTCTATAGTCCTCCAACACAAACTTTTTGCTTCACAGTCATAAAGCTTAAGTATCTTAATATTCAGGACAAGTATTTGGTATGTTAACAGATTTTATAATCCCTTCCGAAAAAGACTGTAAAAAAAGAGGAAAAAAAAAAGCATAATTATTATAACCTTATAACTGTAAAGAAAGGAACAATATAAATCAAATATTTTCTCCCACCATTTGCAGTAAAATTCTCTGTACAAAAGTTCTTCATAGAAGGACGTTTTGACTGATGACAGAGGGAGCCTTTACAGTCTGGTTTCCCAAGGAAGATCAGACTCCTCTCTCCATTAAAAAAATCAAATCACAGTGGGGTGACTGTGATAGTGACCCACACTATCAAAGGGGTTTTGATTTGGCTTAAAAACCTGCTGTATTTACCTCAGTTGGTCCCGCATACATCATGGGGGAGGGGAATATAGCCACCACTGTTGTTTCAGGATTCAAAATTCCTTCCTCCAGCACTGCAGCATGTTGCTTCATGCGCCACATGAGAGGAACATCGTCCTCCTTGGTCCAGCCTCCAAGTGGGTGCAGGAGTAAAACTGGGCGCCGGTAGCCACGTTCTAAAAGTTGCTTGTGAGTATCCTGCATTAAGAGAGCGTGCCCATTGTGCACCGGGTTGCGTAACTGGAATGCAAAGACAGCATCTATGGAGGAAAAGCAGACAAAAGATATCAGGAAATCAAGTTATTTTATCAGGAGTTGTACAACCATAGAAACATCTTCAAACAGTACAATTTCTCCTCTGGACTCAAAGAAGTATGCTAACAGTAGATGCCGGTTGTTAAAGGATTATGACTTTTTATAAAATCATTATACTGAGTAAGCAAAACTAATAAAATCCAACCATGCAAAAAAATATATATGTCACCTTCCTTCATTTTTGAGATTTCCACAGAATTACTCTGGTTTCTCCAACAGGTACAACCTTCTCTTCAGATTTTTCACTTGCATAAGCATATAACAGAAAGTTAAATTCTAAGAGGAAATCAAACTATGCTACCTGTCTTAAAGGCTCCAAGTACCATCAGAAGAACAAATGGACATGTTTGCTACAAAGCAAACAGAAGGGGATTTGATGTGCCTTAGTAAGTTTTCTTCAGCTAAAGGGCTTAGTAGAGTTTACACACAGTAAGAACATGGCAAGGCTAACTGCTGTTCCAAAGTATTATAAAACCTTGACACAACCAGGACTTCTCCCCCTCTGGAAATCGGGATGAACTAAGGTACCCTGCAAACAGCAAAATCACCATAGCTGAGAGGTTTCCTAATAAGGAAACAATGAAATCTAGACAAGGGTTTCTTTTTCAGGTGTCAAATATATTTCTTTAGGAGCTAGCTAAAACAAAGACTGGTATCTCAAACCCGCAGATCCTAGAAATACTGGCCACACTGAAAAAAGACCTCTCAGCCTTGTGTGTAGAAGTGCTTAGCAGCTGCCTGCCAGTTGCTGCCACCGTGACGGCAGCGTATCTGATTGTTCTCTGCTTTATGACATCACTCAGCCTCTTGCTTCTCTGCCTAACACAACTGCTTTAGAGTGAAAAAAAAATGTTTTTTCTTTCTTCTGCAATATAAAGCTGGCAGCTAGCCCACAAACTTTAACTGTGATACACTCTGCTTTGCACCATTCAACTTGCATTGCTGTCATAAGTTTTGTTCCCCAGAAGCAGCATGCAACAGACTTAAAAACAGAAGAGCATGAAAAGCTCACCACTCAAGCATACTTCTGCACTTTTAGCTGAAACAGATTATTTTAAAATCACATTCCACTATATTTTAACATTATCTTTTCTTGAATTGGTAACACGTCTAGTGTGCATGGAAAGATGAAAAACAGAACCTCAGGCATTACCAGCTTCTCTTGTGTATTTAGGCAATGCAGTGCCTGAAATCATAAAAATCAATACCAGTTAAAGGCAAAGAATACCACCTAAGAGGGCATTCAAAATCTTCAGCCTTGAAACAATGCCAGCCCCTCTGGTATTGAGGCAGCAGGCATCTGGATAAACATTTGCAGAAAGAAACAGAAAAATTTACTCACCAGCATTCATTTCCTTGAATTTCTGCCTTAATTCAGCTGGAGTGAGACGATATTGATCAAGTCCATCATTCCAATAAATACGATCAAGGACCTGTAAATCTCCACCTACGAGCCAGTTCCCTTGCTCCATAACCATCTAAGAAAATGAAAGAAAATCCTCATTAAGACTGGCTGACAGCTTCTCCTGAGCATCTAGACCGTTGCAGTGGGGGAACATGTTCATCACGGGAAGAGTTCTGGGTTAATTTTATTTGACAGTCTCAAGCCAAGCATCAATGCTTTAAAAAAAATAACAACAACAACAATTAGGGAAAAAAAAAATAAAATCACTCACTGGAACATAGTCAAGTCATGTTATATCATGGTGCAGAAGAGATGCACAAATCCTCAGTAGGCATATGCCTTTCTTTCAAAATAAAGCATTTTTCTAATATTTAGAAATGCCAAGTAATGAGTATTCTTAACCAATATTATTACATGACAAAAAGAGATAGTGGCTGGAAAGCCCAATACGTTAAGTACAATGAATCTGCACACTTTACAGTTGGTCAAAGCAAATGCAGTTCCAGTATCACCCTGCAGTTTACAAGATTCTGGTCAGCAATAAATTAGCAAATAAATAAAACTATTCACATAAATTTATGCATAAAATCCGAATCTTTGAAGTAGTATAGCTTTTGGAGTTGTTTCATGGTAGCACTTTACCAAGGCAACATACATTGTACATTCACCAGAATTTTTTCTATTTCTTCAAATATCACCCCACCCTTTATAAAAAAAAGATACTTCTGGCAAGCTGCATAACATACTCTAACAAAGGCCATACAGAACACCCAGAAAAATAGTCCAAATATCTGTACTTCTCATATACATGTAACTATTAGTCATACGGATACTTTTATAACATATTAAAGGCTTTCCCTTTAAGAGCAAACTCATAATTTTAGGTTTGTTTGAGAGACAAATGGGGAAAGAAACATACTTTGGCTCTGCAGAGCCAAGATGCAACATTTACATCACCTTGGAAAACCAAACACAGCATTGCAATAAGTATGTTACAATTAGAATATTTCAGTATGATGTACACAGAATGTCAAGATAATAAAACATACCAAACATAATGGATGGGAAATAACTCCCCAGGGAGTTAAATGATGAACTCTCCACGAATGGGGCCTCTAGGAAAAGCATCTAGGCCAGTCACTTCTCATGAAATCTACATGCAGGCTGAACAGAAGTTTTCTTGCCCTCACAATGCATGTATTTGCTGATTAAGGAGCCTTGATGACCCATCTGACTAGACAGAGGGATGTGTTTCCTAGGCACACTAGAAGGCACAGTTCCCTTTGCTGTACCACAGATTCTACAGTGCAATCTAAATACATTTCCTGTGTACATGTTGGCATTAGATTTTCACACTATGTGCAGGCTATTCAACAGCTGCATGGAGCAACAGTGATAAAAAAAATTACCTTTGTTTTCTGAAATGTTTTAATTAGTTCTCCAAGTAGTTCTGCTGTCAAAAAACACCAGTCACAGCCATCCCCTTCGCTTCATTTGCGGCTCCACAAACAGTACAGCTAATAGGACCAGATTTTCAACCTCTAAACACACACCTTGATATAGGGATGTTCCTTGCACGTCGTTCCCCATTGCCTAGCACAGCGTTCCTCTTTCCGGTGTTCGTAGAACTCGGGATTACGGAGAATGGCCACGCGGCGGCCCTCGTACACCAGAGCAACTGCTGTGCACCCGTCCAGCCTGTCCTTGTCTTCTTGAGTAGCTGTCAGCACTATAGGCACCGACAGATTAATAACTCCACCTAGGGAGCAAAAGAAAAGCCGCTATGTCATAGGCGGAAACACGCACCTGACATTTCTGAACGGACCATCTAAGACAGGGACAAGATCGCTACTGCAGTGGGCAATGAGAGAAAAGAAACAGCCACGCTTTTGGTCCACAAGGAAAGTTTAATGCTACAGAAGCAGCCAAATGTACCCAAGTAGTTAGCATATGTGAATTCAACCATTTCAAAGTGTGACTTTTGCTGTTCACCTAAAGCTGTATTGAGATTCAAGCATATATATTGCAGAAAACTGTTCAGTCAGGCAGACATCTTGTATAGTTCGTTCAGCTGAAAGCTTACCAGCTACTTTGCTTCTAAACCTAAACCTTAAAACTCAGATACATTGGTTATGTGTGGTCCTCATTTTTAAGCATTTACTTCACTGCTAGATGATGGGAGTCTTGTATTGCTTGACTACAAGAGTGAGATTTGAGAAACCCAGTGGAGTAAATACTTAAAGTCTCATACAAAGGCTTGAATTCTAATAAGCATACGCTTGCTGAAAGATTGCAAAACTTTTGGGTGATCTCCAGGAGAAAAGTCATGGGCCTTTTGAAGTTAATGAGGGTTTTGCTATTGGCTTTATTGGGGCCAAGATTCTAAACTTAAAGGCCCTGTTATTTAGCAATACACTTTTTTATAACCTTCACTCAATTTTATCTTAACTGTGGTAGGCAGTTGAAAATTATGAACCTGGATGAAAAGTTTCAGAGACAAATAGGTCCCCTTTTCCTTCATAATGTAAAATAAAAAGCATGCTGTGCATCTTCTCCTAAGTTCAGTCTCAGAACTCAGAATTATTTTCAAAGCGACGAGGTCATAAAATTGAGCTTGGCAACAGTCACAGAGAAGGTGATTTACCACCCCTAAACTTGATAGTTCAAAAAGTCCTTTTGCTTTGAGAAAAAGCAAATATTTCGAACTATGAAGACATCTCAAACCTGTTGATTATTAAAATTTTGTCAGTGACCAATAATAAGTATGTAATATCTTTGACATCTGTCTTCAGCCACTGTACAAATGAGGAACTGAGGCAAGACAGTGGAGCAAGTTTAAGTCACAGGTGAGCAGTGTCATCTTGAGACTATTTCAGATAACTTAAGCTTTAAATTGAGGGTATCACCACACCTGCACTGATCTCCATTATGTAGAAGTCAGTCAGGATGAATATTGCACTTTGAGTCGAAAGTATGAGATGCATTGAAGGTACTAAACAATTTCTCTCTTCAAAATCAAAGGAAACTTTCAGGAAGTTCTTTTGACTCAACTGGCACCACTGCTTCAAGTAGCAAAGCAGTTTTAAGGAAATTACATTTTTCTAAAAAGGTTCTCACACGTAAATTTTGCAGTAGATATCTAAGAAAAGGAAATATGGTAGTAGCTAGAGGAACAAGATCATTCTGTTCAAGGCACAGGACTGAAAATTGTTTCCATCAGTTAATTTACTTGTTACTTTCCATAACTCATTTTTTTTACAGCAGACATGAGGTACTAAAAACAATTGCAAGAGAAATTTAAAAACTTGTAATACTGCCATATCTGAAACATTCACCTACACAAGGTCTTAAAAGCCTTATAAAAAGTCTGATTTACAGAAGACTAAAGGACAGAACAAGGAGTTACAAGCTATTTCAGCAGCTGAATGCATAGCGTGCCATCTGCAGAGTACTTTTCACCTAGAAGGACATACAGAAGGCAAATGGAATGAAAAGAAAACTAGTTGTCCAAAATGACACTGCAAATTTTAGATACTCCAAAATAACAGGATGGCATTTTACTTCCTGGAATAGCATCTTAGAGACTTACAGAAAAGGGCACTAGAAAATGCAAAAGGGACAACAGATGTGTGGATCACTGCATGACAAGTGACTTTTTTTGATGCTACTTGGTCTCCAGCTAGGGAAAAGTAATGCAGAAGCAATTGAGGAGACAGAAATTTTTACTATCCCTCTTTGACATAGAGTGCAAAGAACCCTAAAAATGTCAGAGTAAAACAGAGCCTTCAGAGAGGGATAAATGAAAAATGACAGAGAACCACAGTTACATTCCAAAACCCAAGAATGTTATCGCTTGCTGACTTAGCCAATTGATAATTCAAAATAAAATAGGTTGATTTAAATCATAACAGGATAATTACTAAGTCATAGTAACTACCAATGACATGTGACAATTGTCCATGCTCAATCCATCTCCTCAGATTCTGATTTCATACTTGCAGTAGCTCCAGCACTTGAGTCAATTTGTTGTCTTTTCCTTCATTACTATTACAGAACAAATCTTTTGGCACACAGAGCTAAACAGCAATCAAATTGCAGTTGTGAATTCTAAAATCATTTCTTCTAAACAAACTAGCAACAGGGATTTTAAATTTTTTCCAAAAATTAAAACATTTGAAAAATATCATTTGTAAAGGCAAGAAGACGAGACAAACTCCATCACAATAGTAGGTATAAAAAGAAGAAAACCACCACGTTTAAAACGGATGACTGTAATAACCTGCTGTCTTACCCCAAGTTGTGTACAAGCCTGATGACATGTTACCACACCACCACCAAGCAAAGCATCAAAGATATGTTAGAAGCAGGATAGGTTTGCTCAGTTCTACAAACGGTAAGCTTTACCCTACCATCGAGGAGACAGTCAAAGTGAAGGCACTGCAGGTATTCTCTCTCTCTCATGAAGCCGTTCAGGGGTGTTGCCCAACCTTCTGCTAGCACTTGCACCCATTGCATATCCACCTTGTAAAGAAATGGAGAAATACTTAGAGCAGATAAAAGTTGTTCCTAATGATTGACATAAGTTATCAATCATAACAGATCGTGATTTACCCATAAAATGCAGCACATTATAACTGGAAGATTTCTCAGTACAGTTTTTAATCACAGGGAATTCAAAGTTTCTACAAGCAAGAAAAAAGCATAACTTGTCCCTCACTGTTCCTACTGTTGGCTGTTTTCTAGTCCTTATACTAGATCAAATCTCCATGTGTTAAAAACAAAACCAACAAAAAAAACAACCCACAACAACAAACTTCATTGGTAGATGTTTGATAAAGTTCAACTAAACAGAATTAGAGAGTCTCACTTGCCTTTATTTTGTTAACAAAGCAAGATAATCAAGAGGTTAAAAAAAAACCCTACACATAGAATTACCACAAAAATATCAGAATTACAGGGGAGACTATTAAGTGGTCTAATCTTAAAACAGATTACAACGAAACTTTTTTTTGCAGAAGCTAGTGAGACAATCCAGAAGTAAAATTCTCTCTGGACTAGTACTTACTTCTTTTAGTTTAAGAGGTATCAGCTTACAGGGAATTTCCTTCCTCAGCACTTCAACAGTCACACTATGACTTAGTGTGTGGCCTCTATTATTTCTGCATGTGCATTACTAAGACTTGGTCAAGTCTTTGACAGGGACAGGCTTTGCTTGTGCAAGGCTCTTTTGCGAGGACCATGACTCGTTTTATTACACTGTTTAATTTATGCTGAGGCAAGTACAACACACATTCTCTTCCCAAACTTACGTTATATACTTGTTTGATATTTAACAATCCACTAGTTGGGAATGAAGGGGAAAAGGATTTGTTAGTCTACATAGGGAGTAATTTAGAATGGGAGACTACAGAAATTTAATAATGGTGACCTTAAATACTTATTCCTCATCAAAGCAATGAATAGTTTTACAAAGACATGTGAAAGAAATCTAATAATATGCAATGAAAGGAAGTATTAAAATTTATTGGTAGTAGAAGGCTAGGCAAATTTTAAAACTATTTAATTCAATGCTTACTATGTCATCTCAGTCCTTAAAAGCCAAGTTACTCACTGCAGATACTTGACTCTGAGCTTAATCAGCTCCAAGGTCAAAAGCTTATCTTTAAGTTCTAGTAATATTACCAAAAAGCCAGTGAAAAAAATCATGCACGGTATCTGTGGTTAGGCCTAGCTCTTCAGAAAAAAAGGATGAGGTAGAGCAGAAACACAGAAGCAGCTTCATCTAATTTATCTGAGTTGGAAAATAATGCACTTAAGTAAGAACAGAGCTGATCAAGCTGATCAATGCTTTTCCATGTTTTCTCTACTGGAAACCAGAAAAGTAGAATAAATATGCTCTAACCAGAAAAATAAAAAATAAGCAATAAAGTAGGTATGAACATTTCTCTGTAGAGTTAAGTTTGCAGCTGTTTGAGCTTGGTTCCTATCGTTCAGCTGAAAGTTACCAACAAGAAGAATCAGGAAGCAGTAACTGATGTCCTTCATATTTATAGATCATTATAATTCAAAACAAAAACTTGTGTGAGTAAGCAACAGAAAAAAAAAAATTAGTAATTCTTCTAGAAACAACTACTCATACTAGACATGCCAGACACGATTCAGTACATGAACGGTGGGGGGAAGCACTGGAGGAAGTCATTGTAAATTTAACCTCCAGTTTATCTTGGAATAAACTAAGTAACACTATACCAGACATTATTCATGAAATTATGAAGATTCTATTGTTCTGTAGTAAGTGATCAAAGAAAAGTTTGATCATAGATGCTGTGATTTCTCAAGAAACAAGAAAAAGTATATTGTGACACATTCTGTAACCAGTACAGGTATTTCAATTAGATTTACTTCTGCTGAGCAGCAGATTAGACTTTCAACTTCAGCAATGACACAAAGGAACACACAGTACCTTATTTATTTCCAAGGTTAACAGAGACTCAGCATCAGTTTTGGCCAACTGTAGCTTGTTTTCTGGCACATAAAGCTCTTTCACCTCATATGAGGCATCCACAGGTACAATGTCCTGTATAAAAAGAATAAACGGAACTTAATGTTTACTCAAAATGGTTTTGGGACACTGACCAGATGGTCAAGAAGTAAAATTCTCATGTTGCATTACTCTATAGCAAGAGTTTATTCATTAAATAATTTTTAAAACACATTTAAAAACCAGCACTGTTCCCAGGTTATAATATATTGCTGGCCAAGCTACTGGCTGGAGTAACTAAAGTGAAACGTTCTGACAAGATTTTTTTCTAAACCTTAAGTACCTCAGATAACATTTTCCTAGTAAATATTTAACTATTGAACTAAGTGGAGTTTTTATGACTTACCTACAGCAGAACGGAAGACTACTTGCTTTTATACTTGTTAAAGTGGTAAAAAAAGTTCTAGAGACTGAACATTGATAAATGTAAGTCATTCACTGTAAAACATACATTGGAAATAGTAACATGAAGGAAAAACCTCTCAGCTGAAAATGATTAATATAGGAATACAAATTAAATTTATTACCTACAGCTAATGACATAATGCCAGTGTCCTAATCCATATACTAACACTTCAAACATTTAAATGTGAGGCCATCTGTACATATATATATTTATATATGCAATGAACTGAAATCTAGTTTTGTAACCGTAACAACACAAAAAAATCTGTTTGAAAAAATTCAGTTTTCCCCCATGCATTTTAAACAAGACATTCTCCACTGTGCTCAAGACCTTAAACTTCTCATAAGATATGAATATAAGGAAGAAAATATAAATGAAAAAAATAGGAAGAAGGGAGAAGGCCATCATGATAAAACTTTTAAAGAGTTTTCCCTGACAAAGGATGGTTAAACCAAATCAAATGTCCCAGTGATATTCAGTAGGGGGAAAAAAAAAAAGGTGAAAAGTGGCTGCCAGTTATTTTTAAAACACGTTTTCCAGAGTTTTGGAAACTTCTGTAAAATAGTGCTTTATGTTTTGAGGGAAAAAAGGCTCAGCCTTACAGCAAAGTATATTCGTGTTATATGTCTGTATAAAGAAATTATCTTTATTTTTCTAGTATATGTAGTCCAGAGTAAGCAGGTATGCCTGCAGGAAATATGATTTTTGCCCAAGCACTTTAAAGATTTTATCCAAGCATTTAGAAGACATTAGGCACTACTTACATCAAAAGTAAAACAAAGGGAGAACAAGTGGGAGATAAAACAATGGTGGGAGTCTCACTGGCTGTTACATAATTCGTATCTCCAAAGACAAATAAAAGAAAAACTAATTAAACTAGCACTTAGAAATTCTGATTGATACGGAAAAGCTCAGCCCATTACATATCAGACATCATTCGGGAAGCTGATTTTATTAAAGAGTAATTCAGGGCAAGTCTGCTCTCTCTCTCCTCTGCCTGAGCAGCAGCAGTGCAGCCCAGGAGGGCTGCAGCAGCCTCCCGGCACAGCCGTGAGCCGCACTCACACCCGGGACGGGCGGCTGGGAAGAGCTCAGAGCCCACGTGCAGCGGCTGAGTGCAGCCTATGCTGCCGCACAGAAGGCTCACCTCCGCAACCCAGCTCACTACCATGCTACAATGGCCTACTTTTACAAACCACCAAAAGCTTAAAATAAACGTGTCTATTTAAAAAGGCTTTTCAAACATTACCCTGGTTTTAGTGTCCCACTAATGGGCAAAACAATGAAAAAAAAACAACAGAGGTTTCACAATGCAGTTTCTGTCAACAACCTACTTCATTAGAAGGATGTAAACAGGCTGAAGACAGTTGCAGCAACACTGAGACATTTAGAGAATTTGTAAAATTAGTAAACCGAGACTTCCTTGCAGACATAAAAATGGTATGTAAAACATCTTGGATAAAAAAAAAAAACACACACAAAAACAAAAACCACCAAACCACACACACACAAAGCAACCAACCAGGAAAAAAAAAAAAAATTTAGAAAAACAACCAAAACACACACCACACAAATAAGCACCAGGAGCAAGAGGAATTCATAAGTCTTTAAAAGGTATGAATTTTAGGAAAATGCTAGGCTAGCAAGCCATCTAGTGACCACTTTAAGGTAGTAACTTTACTCAAAGGTTTATTCTGCCAAAGCACAAGTGACACAATATTCCTCAACATTTATTACTTCCCAATGCATTCATATAAATAATGGCAAAATAATAAAAAAAAAAAAAAAAAAAAAACAAACGAGATGCTTTATGGGAATGTGCCTTCTCAAGTTGCAGTGGTAGGTCCGTTGCTGATGCCAACATCCCCAACAGTCTGCATGGAAAGTGCCTTCAGGCAAATTTCTGGTAGATGGGCATTCACAAGTCACATCTAATTTACATTACTGAATTACTACTCATTATAAATTCATATTATTGAGGTGTGAAAACAGAAACACTTTCTCTTGTGCCAACAAGAGGAATTTCTGACCCAGCTGTTCACTCCTGTTTCTCTCAAATGTGTAAAGTCACCCTTAACACTTTTGTTTTCATAGAAATGTCACGTTTAGGTTACATTATACATCTATATCAACATAAATAATTTTGAATTAAAATATCTAGGAAATACTCATAACAAACCTATCACCCACCAGATCTACCTGGATGATTGTGTAACCAGAGTCTCTGCAATTAACACAGGATAGACATGAGCCAAAACCTTGTCTGTACCTTTTCCCAAAATACACAAGTTAAAACCAAGAGAAGAAAGCAGAAGTAGTAAGTAACAAAAACGGCATTCTCACAGTATTTAATCATTACATAATTCAAGGTAACTGAAGCTTGTTCTTTAATATTAACTCTGAACTCATACATGCTTTTTGAAATACAGAAATCTATTTATATAACATTCTGTTGTATATTTTTAAAAGAAACGAACTGCAGCCAAAGCCTACATCTTAAAAATACGAAATCTGCAACTTAAAACTGCTTCCTTTCCTAAGCATGGGAAGAAATTAATGTTTTATTGATGTAGGAATTACAAAAGTTGAATACTTAAGTGGTTTTGGTTTTGGGTTGTTTTGTTTTTCAAATTATGCTTAAACTAGTTTCTGCTCATTCTGGCTTACATCTTTACTGCTGTGTTTAAATCTTCACCATAACAGTATAGAGACAGTAGTATAATCTTGCATATCTTTTACACAGAGCATGTTTTTTTTTCCCCAGCTTCTCACTCAAAACAACAGCCTTATCACAGAGGAGCCTCTGGAGGTCATGTAGTCTAGTCTCCTGCTCAAAACTGGTCCCATTATAGCAGGCTGCTCAGAAACTTGGCCAATCAAGTTTTGAATATCTCCAAGGACGGAGCATACACAAACTCTCAGGGCAACTTGTTATAATATTTAAGCATCTTTATAGTGAGAGGACTTTTCCCCCTCTGTCTAATTTTAATTTCCCATATTTCATCTTGTGTCTCTTGCCCCTTATCCCACCCTTATGCCCCTGTGAGAAAAATCTTTGTTAGTCTTCTCTGTACCCTCCCATTCAAGTGCTAGAAACAGCAACCAGATCTCCTTAAGTCTTCTCTTCTCCAGGCTGAAGAAGTCC